TTTTTTTTTTTTTTTTTTTTTTGACACGGAGTTAGGCAGCACATCTGTTGTCATATTGTTTTGACTGCAATATTTCGATTCTGTTTAGGTATGTCTGACTTACCATAAAATGCTAAAGTATCTGATCCTCTTGCCCATTCCAATCCAGCCCCATGTTGATTGATCGTAAGATACACGTCCGGCATATCTGGTAACTGGGTGACACCTGGTGGTTTAACCGTTTCCTTTATACCTGCGACGTCCGGCTGTTTTGAATCTATCGTAACATGACATGTAACTATGGTGCTTTGCCCTGCTGCATTGTTTGCTCGCACAGATATATAATAAGTATGAAGCTGTTGTAGCGGCTGCGTAAAGTTGCTAAGGACTAATTTATCTTTAAGGCCGACAGAATGAAACGGAATTATATCCTGTTGCCCGTGATGTGTTCCTACCGCGACATCGTACGTTATAATATCACTTACGTCTTCTTCGCAGTCCCAGTATGCTCCTATACTCTCGTTGGTACCCGCGTATTCTACAGGTTCTTCCATGGAGTATGATGGATCTAAGCATTGTATTAAAGTACATCTGGGTGGAGTTGTGTCTATGGTAATTCCTTTGGAAGACACGGTTGTACCCAGTCCGGCGTGGTTTACTGTTTTTATGATCATAAAGTATGTGGCGGCATTGGGTTTATCAGAATCTGTGTTCATCACATCTTTAACATACCTTCTCTTTGAATCAAGAGTAAGATTGTTTAATCTTATTTCAGTTAGTTCGAACGAAGAATGGGGACAATCGGTACTACAAGTCATGTCGCACTGGTACTGGCACGGTGAACAGAAATGTTTGTATAGATGGAGTGGGATGACGTCAGCGACGAGGTTATCTGAACTTCCGACACCCACCCATAACGCATTCAACTTGCTTTCAAAATCGTAAAACGTTCTCCCCAAGTGACACGGCTTATTTGTCGGACGTGGTATCTCGAAATAGTTCAAAGTGGCTTGCGTTTTGAAAGGATGGAATGCATCTGGTACTTCCGGAACAAAGTCATTTATACTCCACGTGCGAATCTTCAGATATCCATTGGGTTTAATGATGTTGTACAGAACAGCTTTAAGTCCACTGTTGATGTGTAATTTAGCACTCCAACTGGTCCTGGTAGGGTACTCTTCTTTTTCAATCTGAATTGTGTATGTGGCGGCCTTTGTTGTTGGATCGAATGGAAGCTCTACCCATTCAGACTTGCGACCTTCTTCATTGGTGCACCAGAACAAACAGAACCACTTCTTTTTTGCACCATAGGCATGCCCTACTATATGTAACCCAATGCCCGGTGCATATGAAACTTGACTGATGACGTTTGATCCATTATTTGTTATGTTACGTTGCAGAGCTATTTCGGTATTTTCGTGTATCTCTGAACTGTTAATGATGTCCGTTCCGTTTCCAGAAGTATTTTCTGATCTGTTTGACGTGATATCAAGATGTATAGCGTTCTTGTTATTAGGATGTATCTCTTTAGTGTTATTTTTATCCGTGCCGTTGTTGACAGCTTGTTCTGATCCCTCTGACGTAATGTTATAATAGATAGTGTTGTTATTAAAGCTTAACTCTGTACTGTTCTTCTTGTCTGCCTCGTTGTTAACGACATGGTCCAATCCGTTTGACGTGATGTTATAATTCACAGTGTCGTTATTAGAACTTAAGTCTGTACTGTTATTTTTGTCCGTTTTGTTGTTAACGACATGTTCTGATACGTTCACTGTGATGTTGGAAAATATAGCTTTATGGTTATTCGTGCGTATCTCTGCGCTGTTATTTTTGTCTGTTACGTTTTGATCAGTGAATTTTAATCCATTAGTCGTGATATTGCTGAGCACAGATGCATTGGTATTCTGATGTATCTCTGTAATATTTTTTTCTGTTCCGTTGTTCATATCTGGTTGGGAACTGTCACTATGGAATTCAATAGATGCGTTCTGGAACATTTCTGATGAAGGCGGATTAACAATAACAGGTTCTTCAAACGCAAAGATCTCATCGTTGTCTCCTTTGCTCAAAGTCACACTCGTAATGATGGTTTCTCCTTCGGCAGCTTGCAGGAAAAAAGAAAAATTTCCTAAAACATCTGGTGACAGCTCGCTTTTTACACCCGCTAACTCTAGATGAAAACTATACTCATCGTGACCCGTAATCAGAACAAGTTGATCAGATTTAGTTTGAACATTGGCCGTCTGATAATACGTTTGAGGAGAATCTGATGTTTGGGGCGATGTTTTTAAGGCATGCATTCCATTCGGGACGAGGTTGGTAAAATGGATACGTTTTGACGATGGGCAGAGAGCCGTGGCGGCGTCGTGTGCAATGCCTATCATGCCTTGTAATGTCGTCGTTGATGCCTGATATAAGCTGGATGTTTTCCAGTCGCTACCATGTTTCACATCCCCCGGAAATGGTGGGGTTTCGTCTACGAACACCGGGTCGCTCCATTGTGTAATTTGCAATCTAGCCTCGTTATATGCAGTTAGTTTGATATAGTACGGTACTCGTGGCAAAAGTTGTACACGAGTAAACTCAATACTGGTGTCGTTTTTTACTTCTACAGGACCCTGCATCAAGGCAAGTTCAGATTTATTCAAGTGTTTACTTGAACACGTAGACCGCTGAAAAAGCGAAACTTCATACATTGCAATATGGGTCTCGGTATCTCTAAACCCTGGCCAAGTGGCAATAAGCGTCTCTGTAGAAACGGTATACATGGCGTCAGTTCCTTTGAGGCCCACTACAATTTTACCTGGCAATGGAGGCGTTGTGTCTATTAGTATTGGGGGGCTGGTGGCAATACCACAATTGCCAGCAGCATCTGTTGCTTTTACTACTACGAAGTACATTGTTCCATGACGTAATGACAAATCACTCAACTTAACTGACATATCGACTCCAACACTCTTCATTGTTACATCGAAAGTTGCGCCGTCCTGACTGTATACATTCTCACAAACTATAGTGTTATTAGATAAAGAAGCAACAAAATTGGCATTTGATGACACACCCACTTGATAGTCCAGAATAGGCAGATCAGATGAGAAACCTTCCCAGTAGGCATGTAATTCTTCCGTTGACGACTGGGAAGACTTAGAGAATACAAAACCAGGCTTGATGAAGGCTTCAAACCCAACTTTAATGCCATTGGAGCTCGCTTCAGCCATGCTGCCAGCTTCACTGTAGGCTCGTACAGTGACATAGTAAGTAATGGATTTTGCTGTCAAGTTCAGTCCGTTAAATGTGTGGTTTGTCGCAATACCAACATTTACAAAACCGTGCACGTTGGCCCTTGACAAACTATATCTCCTGTCGTTGCCTACTGCTACCTCATAATGCTCAATAATCTGGCTTGGGTCATTAGACGAAAGATCGCCAAATGACCCCCAATTGGCAGACAGCTTTGTTGTTGACCGCTGGTAGTTAATGTCTTCTCCTAGTCCGTCAGCAACGTAGCCTGGAAATGGGGGCTCAATGTTGACAGTAAATCCATCTGATCTTGCTGTCTGTGTGCGGTTTATGGCATCAACAACAGTAACAACGCTGTAATAGGTTTTGTCGTTTTCAAGATCGACCCCATCAATGATCAGGAACTGATCAGAGGAAGGTACAAGAGATGGTGGTTTTATAACCACGCCGTCAACACGAACGACAGACCATAAGACCTCCTGCAATGGACAGGGATCTTGGTAGTCCCACTGAGCCAACACAGTAGTTAGCTCTGTTTGGAAATCTATGTCGATATTTCCGTTTCCGTCCATTACTGTCAGATGAGGATGAGGGGAAACAACAACGCCAGCAGAAACAGCAATGGCATAAAGACCCCCCTTGTTAAACCCACGGACAGATGCATAGACAGTACCCCCAGAGGGTAAAGCTAAACCGTCGATAAACGTTGACGTTCTCAATCCAACATCTTTAAACCCAATGATATCTGTGCCTTGGAAGTAGCTTCCCACTGCCACTTCGTAGCGTTCAATGCCACTTTCCGGGTCGAGGAACTGATCCCATAAGACGTCAACATATGTTTCCGATACTTGACATTTTGGATGACTTGCAACGGTGTCCTTTGGTGCAGATGACGTGGTTATGTGGACATAACCTGTGAGAGGTGGAGTGGAATCTAGGATTATTTTTGCAACAGAAACGGAAGTAAGATTGACAACATTTTCTGTCTTCAAGGTGACAAACACCCTGGTCAAGTTGTACACCACATTACTTGAATCCAGTACAAACATCCAGTTACTCTTGTAGATGCCGAGGTCTGAAAACTGTGCCAAGTCATCTTTGAAATAGTCCAAACCAACAGCTATTTGTACACGCTTGAGGTCGCTCTCCGTATCATCAATGGGCGTCCAGTTGCAGTAAATTGTGGTTTGTAAGGGGGATAGGATATCTGTGCACCTGAAATTCTGGATAACAGGGGGTGTTGTATCTATTAATACTGCAGGTGAGGTTACAATTTGCTGGTTACCCGCATTGTCCGTTGCTGTTAATGAGACAAAGATGGTCTCACCATGATTTACAGTAATAGCTCCGGTTGAGACTCCTGTTGTCATTGCATAAGTCACCGGGACCCTGTCACTCAAACCTGGTAAAGTACCAGCTGTCCACGTCACGCCTGCTACACCACTACCTGTGTCAGAAAAGTTCCACATGGGGACAATTTTCTCCGACGAGGCGGTATATAACACTCGTCTTGGTACTTGCGGAATACCTTCAACTATCTGCTGAAAACTTATATCTGGAGCAGAAGCATCTGTGACAATGCCATCTGAAACTGACACTATAAAATCTTCATGACACTTATGCCCAGTTCTAGCCCTGACCGCAGTGTAAATAGTTTGACCATCTGGCAGGTCTAGATTGGTTTGAGCAAAACCAGCACTTTCATTTGCCATTACTATGCCAATGGAGGAATAGTCACGGATATCTGAAAACCCTGGTTCAGAACCAATGGCCCATTCATAAGCTGTGATGCCACATGCCTCACTCTCAAAGCCTACAAAACTACAAGCTATGGATGAAGTGTCCCTCTGCGAGTTAGCATCTTGAAGGAATTGCCTTCCATCGAACACTATACCAGGGACATTATCTTTTAGAACAAAAATTGGGCGAGATGATTTTGGATGGGATTCCAATCCAGCGCCATTGAAAGCAATGACAGTGACATAGTATGTATAACCACTTGATGCTGTAGCGTTAAGACGGGCCTTCACATACCCATGTCTTGTGCTGCCAAAGTCTATAAACGTTCCTGTAACAGATACATCACCGGGATTAACCCCGATGCCGACCATATACTTCACGATGCCACTCTCTCCATCATGACCAACCCAAGATACCTCTATACCATTTGAATCGACATGGAGAACACGGTTCAGCTCATCGAGTTCTTCTTCCTCTTCAAACAGGCCTACATGTACCTAAAACATATCAATATATACCAAGCAATTACAAAAGTCACATTTAGCCGCCAAAGCCATGCCCTTGGTTATAATAATAAAAATTAAACAGTAAAAGGCCGATTGTCTAATATCAACTTGAAGCATTTACACAATTTCAAAAACAAAATGGACATTTCATTTAATGTACACTGCATTTACGTACGTCTTTTATCACGGGTGGAGTCGTGTCTACTGTTACCCCTTTGGTCTCGTAATTGGCTGACAACAGGGCCCGATTAATGGCGGTCACATGGAGGCTGTATTTTGCCCCGTTGTCAAGTTTCAAAGAAGATTTGTTGAATATGAATTGTTTTTCGCCATCTTCCATGGTATAGCTTTTGTCACGCTGGTCATATGGCCAAAACCTCTGCTTTTGCCCATGATACGACTGAAATACAGTCACTCGATATTCCAGAATACCAGACTCTTGGTCATCGTATTGCCAACGTGCATATATGTATGAATCACTGGACTGATACAATAACCCTTCTTCAGACTGGCTGATAAAGTTAAGCACAGGTGGTGTGAGATCAACGAAATAGCCATCCGTGGTAACTGCTGACATTTGACCAGCACCATTTTTTCCGCGAACTATTGTTTTAACAGTATCACCGTGCTCAAGAGAAAATGTGTGCTCCTCAAAGTGTTGGTCTTTTTTCAGTGTGGCAAAATCTACTTCTTCATTGTTTACAATAACTATAACTTCGTAGTGGTCTATGCCGCTCTCTGGATCGTAAAACCCATCCCATGCACTGGATACGGTTGCAGTCTCTGCTGAGAAGTCGATATTTTGATTAAGATTTAGACCGTCAACGGCCCATCCTGCTACTGGGGTTGTCAAGTCGATAAGTACTGCAAAGTAGAAAAACGGNTTTTTCATTGTTTACAAGAACTATTACTTCGTAGTGGTCTATGCCGCTCTCCGGATCGTAAAACCCATCCCATGCACTAGATACGGTTGCAGTCTCTGCTGAGAAGTCGATATTTTGATTAAGATTTAGACCGTCAACGGCCCATCCTGCTACTGGGGTTGTCAAGTCGATAAGTACTGTAAAGTAGACAAACGGTTACAGTATATGACTAACTGGTAAGTAAATATTCATAAAACGAATTTAAGTAAAACATTTTGCTTTGTTTCAGGTAAGTCTACATCGAATTTCTGTTTTATATCAAAATTCGCACATAAAATTTAGTATACACATGCATGCATCGGTACAAGTGACAAAATGACTAAGTTTCTGTAACATTTGTCTGGATATCTAACTTTCAATTGGCATTATTCCATGATTCTGAAAAACGTTATCGTCCAGTTCCCACATACTTACTCCCGTCTGACGTTCTGTTTATAGACTTTGGGTTTAGGCCATGGTTTAATGCTGTAAGGGTAGTGTAATAAGTAGAGTTGTGGGTAAGATTGGCTGGCATACAAGTCTCTTTGACGGAATGGCTAACTCTAAGTGGTTTGACCACATCGTCTGTTCCTGGTGCACTACCAACTTGTACAATATATCTATGAATTGGATAAATAAAGACATAATTTACAAGTGAAGTTATGAACTAAAATCCAACTGGCTGTTTCCCTACGAATAATGAACAAGGCAGCAAAGCTGTTAAATGTACAGACCGAAAGCAGAAAACAAAAATGCAGAAAATAGGTCATATTGTCAAATTTGATGCAATAATAAATAATGCTTATAACAGCACAGTCAATCAACAGTAAATTTTAATCATGCACAACAGGCAACATGGTCAATAAGATTACAGTTTCAGAACAATGAGAGAGCAAATCCACATAATGAATAGCCTAACTTTTGTAAAAATTGGTCTGATAAAGCTGATTTTCAAACTTGACCTGTATTTTAGTAAGATTTATCACTCCTGTGAATTTGAAGACAATAATCCTGTTGGTTTTCCTTGAAATGTGTTATCAGTGTTGAATATATGCAAAAAAAAAACATAGAAAAAAAAGCTTAACTTTTGAAAAATTGGCCCGATCATGCTGACTTTCAAACTTGACCTGCATTTAATGAATATACATCAGTTCTGTAAGTTTCAAGCCAAAAGGTAAAACTGTTTTCCACTTATCGAGTTATCGGTGTTGCATATATGCTGAAAAAAAGTGGAAAAAAGCATAACTTTAAAGAAAATAGCCCGATCATGCTGATTTTTGAACTTGACTTGCGTTTTATAAATATTTATCAGTTCTGTGAGTTTCAAGCCAAAAGGTAAAATGATATTCCACTTAGCGTGTTATCGGAGCAAGTGCACGGCAACGATGGTGACGGCAACGACAGACGCAGATAACAACAATATTACATCTGTGTCTGCACATAAAAAATAGCATTTTAACTGGTAAGGAACAACCTAACTCAGAATCTGTGTTATGCATCAGTTAAGTTAGCAAGTCTGTGAAGAGAACCTAGCAGACTTAATTACTTCATCAAATGGTATGTCTTTTTTAAGTTAGAATTTGTGCTTACTTGTAATTGATGTAATTGTAAAACTTGCATACACTTCCTTCGCAACTTTCAGAACAATTTTATCCACATTTATATTATCCACATTTAGTTATTTATTCACATTTCAATATTCTAAACAAATTTCTTAATGAAGCAATTCTTATCAAACTGTGACGTTATGGGCCAACTTGATTGTCTTTCTCATAATGCCTGCCGCCACAGTCATTCTCAATGCTACAATTAAATTTTACATATTGAGAATGGATGTTGACAGCAACAATTGTGGGAAGGACATCCTGAAAGCCCTAATCAAGAGATAATTTACTTTCCCCAAAATTGCCGTTGCACTTTAAATATATTTTTATCTAAAATTGTCTGATTCCATCCGTCCTGACATCGGAACAAAGTATTTCAAGCATTATGAGTGGTAGCCAGAGATGCATGTTATACATGTATGTACCTAAATCACTGAAAATAAAATGAAACTCAAATTATAATTACAAATTTCAAAATATCAGAAACCAACCTGTCTATCCCCGACTCCGGGTCGTAAAATCCTTTCCAATGGACGCAAATGCTGTCGTTATTAGCCTGGTAATCAATGTCAACATGTAGATTTTTACCGTCAAACAGATCTCCGGCAATGGGCTCAGAACGATCGATCATAATTGGTTCATCACTGTGACCAGTTGTAAATAACTCAACTGAAAAGAAAGGTTACATGTCCTTCATATTCATTTCAGTCATCTGGGTATCTTGCACAGACAAACGTATATGAAAAAATAAGGCTGATAAATCGAATGTGCCACGGTTTCCAATTTAGTCTATGCTATTATTTAATAAGCTTACACAAATGCTAAAAGCTGTAATTAAAAAATATAATCATAGTTCATATTATTCCATACTCCACACTGCAATGCTTTGAACTTAAAGGGATAATAACTCTTCGTATGAGATCTATATTTCACAATAAAAACATTTGTGAATAACTCATAGAAAAATAATATATTCTGTTTTACCACAAAAACGGCAGTTATAGCTATTATTCTGATATCTGAGCTTGTCTTTAGACCACGTGACCTCCATTGATGGCTATACTCTGTTAAAATCTCTTAAGAGATTTTAACAAAAAACCAAACTTTTTAGAAAAAAACCAGGGACTAACTTTGAATGTAAAAATGGATTCATTAACCATTGGTAAGTATGGGAAAATTGTTGTTTACTCCAGGAAAATTCATTTTTTGGCCGAAACGAAGAGTTATTATCACTTTAATGCTTACCATTATTAATTGCCCGCACCCGAATCCACGCGGGTATTCCATCTGGGATCCCTGGATCTTCCAATAAAAGATATGCATGTTTTCTTTCTATATGATCATGCCTGGAAAAGGGTCGAATCTTAGCATCATACTTGGTTTTACCCAAGGCCAAGTCTACCCTCATGATGCCAGAAAGAGAATCAGACACATTATAGTACACTGCCAAAATGTCGAAGTCTTCGTCGTATACAATGTCATTAATCCCACTGAAAATTGGCTTTGTCGTATCGATTATAATAGGTGTGCTGTGACACACGGTGGTCACTAGAGATCCCCCATGGTGGACACTATTCAGTGCTTGAACAGTCACGTAGTACGAGCCATCGGGAAGATGTAGGTGTTTTGCCAAACCGTTGTGCGTCCAAAATGACTTTCCTGAGAGGTGTGAGTGTGGGTCATCATACGGCTGGACATCTGTTCCACATACAGTTGAACCAGCTGCCCACGTGTAACCCCAGATGCCAGTTTCATTGTCGTGGAAGCCATCCCAATTAGCTAAAATTATAAAGTTACACATTAATGCGATTGCAATAGTTAATGTGGTTCACAGTTGTAGTAGTCATTATATCAGACATCTGATTTCGAATGAAAACACCTCGTGTCTCAAATTTACTAGCAAGAGCAAACATAGGGGGTTATACATGACTTACGTATGGAACTTTTAATGGCGGTGGTGGATTTCCATACCTGACAAGTAATGGTTGGCAAGGGTATACTTCGTGTCCCTGACAGCATGGGGTCCATTGAAAACGGGGGTAGATCCTTCGCCCTCTATAATCAACCTAAAATGGCGATCATAGGAAAACATTTTTTAAAAAATCATAAAAAAAATAAAAAAAAAANCTTCTTCATTGTTTACAATAACTATAACTTCGTAGTGGTCTATGCCGCTCTCTGGATCGTAAAACCCATCCCATGCACTGGATACGGTTGCAGTCTCTGCTGAGAAGTCGATATTTTGATTAAGATTTAGACCGTCAACGGCCCATCCTGCTACTGGGGTTGTCAAGTCGATAAGTACTGCAAAGTAGAAAAACGGTTACAGTATATGACTAACTGGTAAGTAAATATTCATAAAACGAATTTAAGTAAAACATTTTGCTTTGTTTCAGGTAAGTCTACATCGAATTTCTGTTTTATATCAAAATTTGCACATAAAGTTTAGTATACACATGCATGCATCGGTACAAGTGACAAAATGAATAAGTTTCTGTAACATTTGTCTGGATATCTAACTTTCAATTGGCATTATTCCATAATTCTGAAAAACGTTATCGTCCAGTTCCCACATACTTACTCCCGTCTGACGTTCTGTTTATAGACTTTGGGTTTAGGCCATGGTTTAATGCTGTAAGGGTAGTGTAATAAGTAGAGTTGTGGGTAAGATTGGCTGGCATACAAGTCTCTTTGACAGAATGGCTAACTCTAAGTGGTTTGACCACATCGTCTGTTCCTGGTGCACTACCAACTTGTACAGTATATCTATGGAATGGATAAATAAAGACATAATTTACAAGTGAAGTTATGAACTAAAATCCAACTAGCTGTTTCCCTACGAATGATGAACAAGGCAGCAAAGCTGTTAAATGTACAGACAAAAAGCAGAAAATAAAAATGCAGCAAATAGGTCATATTGTCAAATTTGATGCAATAATAAATAATGCTTATAACAGCACAGTCAATCAACACTAAATTTTAATCATGCACAACAGGCAACATGGTCAATAAGATTACAGTTTCAGAACAATGAGAGAGCAAATCCACATAATGAAAATCCCAATATGTGAAAAATGATGATAGCGCATAAAATACTATTACATAATGTTTAAAGACATAAACACCAATATTACTTATGTGGAAATACAGAAAATGTACAGAGCTTCAGGTAGATGGGACTTGAAAGTCACATCTTGAAAATGCCAGTGTTTGAAAAAAAAGAAAGAAAAAGAAAACATAAAAAATATTCCAATAAGGCTGCCATTCAAACTTTTAATCTAGCTGAATAAACATAATATGAATAACTCCACTGAGTTTGAGAATATTAAGGCACTGTTACTCATCTATAGCATTAATGTTGGCATTGCACAAAATAATTTTTCTTTTGTAAACCTATTTGCAATATTAAACAGCATTTACCTGCATAATTATCACTGATTCCTTATTATGTGACGCTGCATGCTAATTAACACTTTTACAACTGTATCTGGTAGAGAGCTTAACCTATAGGAGTTAACAGGGAAATCTCAAATGTGTGTTTTATGTAATCTCATTTAATGGAGTTATCGGTGTTGCATACACAGTATGCTGAAAAAAGTGAAAAAAAAGCATAACTTTTAAGAAAATGGCCCGATCATGCTGATTTTTTAACTTCACTTGCGTTTTATAAATATTTATCAGTTCTGTAAGTTTCAAGTCAAAAAGTGAAATGATTTTCGACTCAGCGTGTTATCGGTGAAAGTGCACGGCAACGATGGTGACGGCAACGACAGACGCAGGTGAGAACAATATGTACATATGTGTCTGTACATAAAAAATAGCATTTTAACTGGTAAGGAACAACCTACGGTAACTCAGAATCTTTGTTATGCATCAGTTAAGTTAGCAAGTCTGTGCAGAGAACCTAGTAGACTTAATTACTTCATCAAATGGTAAGTCTTTTTTAAGTTAGAATTTGTGCTTACTTGTAATTGATGTAATTGTAAAACTTGCATACGCTTCCTTCGCAACTTTCAGAACAATTTTATTATCCACATTTAGTTATTTATTCATATTTCAATATTCTAAACAAATTTCTTAATGAAGCAATTCTGATCAAACTGTGACGTTATGGGCCAACTTGATTGTCTTTCTCATAATGCCTGACGCCATAGTCATTCTCAGTGCTACATTTAAACTTTTCATATTGAGAATGGATGTGGACAGCAACTATCGTGGGAAGGACATCCCGAAAGCCCTAATCAAGAGATTATTTACTTTCCCCAAAATTGCCGTTGCACTTTAAATATAGTTTTATCTAAAATTGTCTGATTCCATCCGTCCTGACATCGGAACAAAGTATTTCAAGTATTATGAGTGGCAGCCAGAGATGCATGTTATACATGTATGTACCTAAATCACTGAAAATAAAATGAAACTCAAATTATAATTACAAATTTCAAAATATTAGAAACCAACCTGTCTATCCCCGACTCCGGGTCGTAAAATCCTTTCCAATGGACGCAAATGCTGTTGTTATTAGCCTGGTAATCAATGTCAACATGTAGATTTTTACCGTCAAACAGATCTCCGGCAATGGGCTCAGAACGATCGATCATAATTGGTTCATCACTGTGACCAGTTGTAAATAACTCAACTGAAAAGAAAGGTTACATGTCCTTCATATTCATTTCAGTCATCTGGGTATCTTGCACAGACAAACGTATATGAAAAAATAAGGCTGATAAATCGAATGTGCCACGGTTTCCAATTTAGTCTATGCTATTATTTAATAAGCTTACACAAATGCTAAAAGCTGTAATTAAAAAATATAATCATAGTTCATATTATTCCATACTCCACACTGCAATGCTTTGAACTTAATGCTTACCATTATTAATTGCCCGCACCCGAATCCACGCGGGTATTCCATCTGGGATCCCTGGATCTTCCAATAAAAGATATGCATGTTTTCTTTCTATATGATCATGCCTGGAAAAGGGTCGAATCTTAGCATCATACTTGGTTTTACCCAAGGCCAAGTCTACCCTCATGATGCCAGAAAGAGAATCAGACACATTATAGTACACTGCCAAAATGTCGAAGTCTTCGTCGTATACAATGTCATTAATCCCACTGAAAATTGGCTTTGTCGTATCGATTATAATAGGTGTGCTATGACACACGGTGGTCACTAGAGATCCCCCATGGTGGACACTATTCAGTGCTTGAACAGTCACGTAGTACGAGCCATCGGGAAGATGTAGGTGTTTTGCCAAACCGTTGTGCGTCCAAAATGACTTTCCTGAGAGGTGTGAGTGTGGGTCATCATACGGCTGGACATCTGTTCCACATACAGTTGAACCAGCTGCCCACGTGTAACCCCAGATGCCAGTTTCATTGTCGTGGAAGCCATCCCAATTAGCTAAAATTATAAAGTTACACATTAATGCGATTGCAATAGTTAATGTGGTTCACAATTGTAGTAGTCATTGTATCAGACATCCGATTTCGAATGAAAACACCTCGTGTCTCAAATTTACTAGCAAGAGCAAACATAGGGGGTTATACATGACTTACGTATGGAACTTTTAATGGCGGTGGTGGATTTCCATACCTGACAAGTAATGGTTGGCAAGGGTATACTTCGTGTCCCTGACAGCATGGTGTCCATTGAAAACGGTGTTAGATCCTTCGCCATCTATAATCAACCTAAAATGACGATCATAGTAAAACATTTTTTAAAAAATCATAAAAAAATAAAAAATAAAAAACAGGCCATCATGAATACAGTATGTGTACTTTGAATCATCACAAAAAAGCTACAATATAATTTGATGTAGGCTAAAGAGAATAAGTATATGCCGAGGGAAATGTGGTTGATACTGATGACGCACAATTTCCACGAATGACTTAAATATTCTACAACATCATCAAAAGGAAAAAGCTTAACATTCCTATAACCATCTACTCTATTCTTTTCTAAAGCAGGATGAATGTCAACAATCTAAGTTTCAACTTTAAGATATCTTATTTGAATTACGCATATCCTACCTATGATTTGGATGCCAAGTCACGTCAATACATCGTTGAGTTACAGCTGCCGAGCAACCATCTGGTTTTACAATATCGACGGAAGAGTTGCCTATAGGACCTGGTTCTGGTGGAGTGAAGTCAACCAGCGTTCCCTTGGATGATATAATCGAGGTGTATCCAACTTTGTTTCTTATTCTCGTGTTTATGTAGTACACTTCACCGTGTTGCAGATTTAGTTTGTCAAATACTAAATATGAGGAATGACCCATGCCAATCCTTTCAAAATTGTGGTAGGCCCCACTGACAACCAGTTTAGCCATTGTTCCTTCCAGGTACTTATGCAAATCACATGTTAAGGTATTAAAGTTGTAATCAAAAGAAACGCATTTCAGACCTAAATCCAAGCATGCTTTTGCACACTTCAGAGCAGTTTTGCTATGAACGCTTTCAATTGGTGTAACTGTTAGTTTATACCCACAGAAAAATGAGAGAGTTCATTTTCAATATCTTTATTTTTAGGCATTTTATCTGGGTAGAATGGCAGCCAGTTGACAACTTCGGCGTTTGTAGGGCCCTGTCCAAAACCGACGCATTTGTATTGGATCTCCTCCAACGGAGAGTCATCAAATATGGTGAGCGTTCCGCTAATTCTATGCGGATGACTTGTATAAGCATGGGATGCTTCAAGACGGCCATCTGGAGGAGTGACATCATACGTCTCAAGTTTGCATGTTGAAATGGCCTCGAGGCCCTGGCTATTTATGGCCTTGACCGTAAAGTAGAGAGGTATCCCATCGACCATCTTTTGAGAAACTGTGAGTGGTGAACCGCCCATTTCCGTCCAGCCACTGACGTCAGTGCCACCAGGGTGACTTCCAATAGCATAATGCAATTTGACGTCACTCACGGAGTCACATGATGCGGCTTCGAGGATAAACGCGGGGTCAGTGTAGTCTTGACCGCCGAGTTGTTTCACAGTACAATTGGGTCTATCTGGTGGAGAATTATCTCTACCTACATTCGATTTATCAAATATATTGTGTCGGATTGGGTCCATCTTATATTTCCACAGCGTATGATCAAAAACAGTTACTGTTACAAAAAGTAGTTTCAAATGAACGTAGGCAGATAGTCTCACTTTTAAAGGAACAAGCACAAGATCCATCTTTGCTCTGAAACAAAAGGGTATAATGTTAGAGATTTGATATTCACTGTTAATCAAAATGGTTGTTACAGTTAATAAAATGTATCACTTTTTTAAACTGTCAACTTTTCTTTATTGTACTATTGTATCATTGCAGACACAACATGTTTAATCACTAGACATTCAAAAGAAACAAAAAAGCACAGTTATACTGCACACTTCCTGTGGATTAAATTAGTTTCAAATTTGGCCCTATATTAGCTTTTTCAAATACAGATTCTATCAATTCAAAAATGCTTATAATGCACCATGGGAAGTTACAATCAATTTCAAAATTTCACATACATTTCTTTAATAAAATAAGTATGTAGTTATTAAAGAGATAATAACTTTTGTTTTGGCCAAAAAATGAATTTTCCTGGAGTAAGCAACAATTTGTCCATACTTACCAATTTTTACATTCAAAGTTAGTCCCTGTTTTTTTTCTAAAAAGTTTGGTTTTTTGTTAAAATCTCTTCAGAGATTATAACAGAGTAGTTTTTGTGGTAAAACAGAATACATTATATTTCTGTGAGTTGTTCACAATGTTTTTATTGTGAAATATAGATCTCATGCCAAATTTTATTATCCTTTTAATGTCAATATCAGATGTGACCCCCATATATAATCAATAATGACCCAATATACACAATGCAGCATGTTGTTCACTAGTGCCACCAATCTTTGATGGGCCATATTCTAGATCTGTTCCACTCTTGGGTCAAAGCTTGTGTCAGTTGTTGTAAATATGCAGGGTGAGGGTTTATGTTTTATACAGGTCTCTCAAATTTGTCCCAAAGGTGTTAAGTTGGATTCATTTCAGAGTTTTTGGCAGGTTGTTCCATGAGTAAAACTTTTGGTTTACAAAATGCCTTAAACCAAGTGACCAATATGGGGTAGCATTGTTGGGCTGCAAGCAGTTGTCCTGAATTATCACACATGCAAATGGAATCAAATGATTTTTGTAAGATATTCTTGTACACCATGACGTTGACGTTTTCTTCCAGAAGAACCAGTTGGCTGAAACCAATGGAACAAAAAGCACCCCAAACATGAATAGAACCACCTTCAGCAGCCTCAATTTCTTGTACATTTTAATTTTCTACTAACATCTCTTCTCCAGGAAGGCGAGGCACTCGCAGATGGCCATCAGGGGGTAGGGTACAGATCTGGATTCATCTGTGAATTTAACATGGTTCCAATTTGGGACTTTTAAATTTCCTTTCAGCATAGCTAAGCACATCCTGTTCATGTGATGACAGCATGTTATAGGCTTCTTAATCACCCTTATTGCCCTATAGCCATGTTGAGTGAGTTTCCTGTTCACAGTTTGGCGGGAAAGACAAAGCAAATGATAATCCCGCAATTCTGTTACACTGGCAGCTAGTTCTCTTTGAAATGCCAAGCTGTCTGGCAATGTTGGATTTGCTAATGTCCACATCATTGACTTCAATTATCTGATTCCTAAGACCAATGTCATTTGGTCCGGGCATGGCATCAGCTTTAGTATGGTGCAGGTCAATTCTCATGACAACCATTATGAGCAACCTTGCACATAACCAAGCATACCAATTGTGATCAATTCAATGACCCTTGTTGCAAATACTATAATATATATTAGTTAATTTTAACCGTGGTAAAAATCAATTTCCAATCAAATAAATTTGAATCATTCATCTGAAACAATATTTATAAAAAGAAACTATTCAATAAACTCACCTCACATTTATCGGGAATTTCCCGAAACCAATAGTGCCTGTTATCGGAAAGCTAGTGTCCAGCAAGAAACCTTCAATACGGATTCCACCACTAAGTATCCCAAGGTTTACTTCAAGGGATCCCCAGACCTTCCCAGCAACATATGGAGTTATTGTAACCTGTCATAAAGTTGTCATATTCAGACTACAGTATTAGACAAACATACAAAATAATATGTAATGTTAATTAGAATGTGTTTTACCTGGATGCAAATCACTTATTAAAACATTTTACACACCTGTTCCCATGGCAACTCTGATCACTTCACATTTTACAATATATTTCTCCTGAGTGGGGTCATATTCAATATGGGAAAATAGTGAAAAAATCTATTTTGGTCTTTTGCAACCACAACTTTTCTTTTGGTTTCTCACAAGAAAACTGTAAATGGTACAAATGAGCAGAACAAAAATCTGATAATAAACAACAGTTACATAAAATTCAATTAATAAAATGGCACAGCAATCTTTACGTTTTTACACCAATACATATGAGCCTTTGGTTGCAATTGACTCCACTTACCAAAGTGTTACCATGGAAATTCTGCAAATCCCTAGTCATTTCAATCTCAGTCAGTGCAATGACAAAGAGTAAAATGCTTATGTAGATCAAAGAACAGGACTGGGAGGATATCATTGTTTCCAGTTTGTGAACTTACCTTAGCTTTCATACACATAAGGCAAGCTCCAGCTGAAATCCTCACACCGATCTCACCACCAGCACCAAACCCTATGTGCAAAAGGGATATTAGATATGTGGATAATAACTGGTTGACAAAGATTAGAATATGCATACAGTATTGACCAAAATTATTTTCAATCCAGATGTAGAGGCTAGGCATCAAAGCTGACACATGTAAAGACATTTAAAGAAGAAATTCCCCCCCCCAAAAAAAAAAAAGATTCAATAATTTACATCTAGGCGATGAGACCAATGATGAGAGAAGTATTTAAAAAGTTCTTCAAAATTCAGCTATTCACACATGAACATGAATGGTCAGAATAAAAAATATTTTGCAATCTATTCACAAATATTTTTGTTTTTGTTTTTAATTTTCTACTGCATCAGCACATCTTTTATGTTTAAGATTTTATCAACTGAATACATCATTTTCTATAACCCCCCCCCCCCCCCCCCCATTAAACATAATGAGTGAGCCCTTAGCTAACTCTCAAAAATGAAAAAAATAGGCATATGGGAGAGCCAGAGGGATCATTAATAAAATGTAAATGGTACAAATAAGCAGAACAAAAATCTGATAACAAAAAATTATATATGCAATTTCAGTTCACAAAGGATCTTACACGGTCTTAATCATTACAGCAGTAGACTTAAAATCTGCTTTTAAGATCAAAAATGGTCTAACATCTACTTATAATAAATGGTCAAGCAATTTCCTCCCTTTACAATGGGGGATATCTCCCCTCACAATGGAGGACACCTCTGCTCACAATAGGAGAACGTGTGAGGGGAGACAATTGCATAACAAGTGAGTCCTGTAATGGTCTTACTCATGTTTTAAGACCATGTAAGATTGTTTTTGATCTGAAATTGAACTTTAAGACCAAATCAGGTGCACTAGTGTGTGTGTGTGTGTGTATGTGTGTGTGTGTATAAATAAATTAATGACTAAAATAGCCTATTAAGGAGGAATGTACATTGCTTATTACATTTATGAATATTTTTAAAAAGTCACTTAATTGGACAAGGTTAATATTTCGAATAACCTTAAACATTCAAGATACAATTTTAAAACAAGTTTAATATATTAAATTTCCAGACTTATCATTTGACAACAGGATCAGAGGTGATACAAAATAAGCCAATATTTTAATTAAATTGATAAATGATTTTATTTTAATTAATAATAAAAATTAATAAATAATATGAAATGAAATGCTGTATTTCAACTCAACTTGCCTTTTCATTGAACAAAAAAATGGAAAATTTAAAAGGATAGAAAAGTCACAGTTTTTCAAAAAGGGAAATCACTTTCTTTACAAAAATGTGAATGTTTCCCTGTAATTCTAAAAACATTAAATGATTATTTGTGTCATGACATAGCTCCTATAAACTACCTTACATGACTATATGGCAAGCAATGGCAGGGCAAAATATAATAGTAAAAATACTGCAAAGATAACTTAAAAAGCTGCAAGACTGTTGACTTTACTGTCAACCCATAAAATTATCAATGAAACATATTTGTTTAAAAATGAGTTTTTATATTTTTAAACAAATAATGAAAATTAGCACACATAGCATAGCATATTATTTACATGTAATTATATATTTAATTGTTAACAGGTGATCTCATTGTAATATTGATGCTATGTTTTTTATGCCTTGTAAAAGTATTCAAATTGGCTGCTGCTTCAATTGAATGCCAACAAATCAAATTTAAAACTAGAAAAGCACTCAAAGAGAGCAGACCTCCGCCAAGGCAGCAAAGTCTCCATTCAATGCCGTTTCACCCCTAAATTTTCAAGATTATTGATTATTGATTGATTATTGATCCAGATCACCACCAAAAACTAATTATCTGTTCCTTGGCCCACTTCTGACAGTTCCTGAAAATTTCATCAAAATCGGCCCATAACTTAATTTTTTTAATTTTTGATTATTGATTATTGATTGATTATTGATCCGTATCACCACCAAAAACTAATCACTTCTAAGTTAACCCATTTCTGACCTACCCTGAAAATTCCATCAAAATTCATCCATAACTTTTTGAGTTTTGTTGATGACAAACAAACAAACAAACAAACAAACAGGGGTAAAAACATAACCTCCTTGGCTGAGGTATAAATATCCATTCATTCACTGAAGTACATTTTCAATTATTTTTAGATATATGGAAAAACCACAGCTATTACTACCAATCAGCCAGTCCTCATATAGTTCTATTGCTAAGCAAATTTTTATAATTAAAACTAATTAAATAAAATTTCATTAGACTACAGACACTGATCCTTCCTTTTAAGTAACTTTAACTTTTTCAGCAATCTATACTCTGTCAGTTTGACACCACTTTATGATAGTGACATGCAATTGCCTTTACCTCAGGATGGTTGTTCTATAAAGGCAAAGGGCCATGATAATGAAAGAATGTGACATTTTAGCTTAGTTGTCTGTTTTTAATTGACAATTACATAAGTTTAATAGCAATTTTAAACTTGAAAATTGGTGGAAAAAACTTACAATATTAAATTTAATTAAAGACAAATTTGCAAGCTGTGGGTCAAATAATCATTTTGTAATCATGAGTGAAACAAAGTCTACAGTAACTATTCTTTAGTACTGTGTCAAATTTGCTTAATTGGCAGCATTTGGTCAATCATATTTCTTTTGACATGCTACTTACATAGATGTTATTTACCATGTTTAATGCAGAATGTTTATTAATTTCTCACATGAAGCCAACATGTCTATGAGTGTTAATGTAAAATATACAGTACTGCTGTATTCCAATTATTTACAAATTGCAAATTTGGCTTGTTAAGATACACTTTTTTAAACAGGACAAGGAAATATGGTTGTTTCAAACATTAAGGCATGTTGAATGATAAACTGTATTTTTGTGAAAATATTGAAAAATCCTATTATGTATGAAATATATAATTTATCATATGTGCTATGCGCATCTACTGGCTAATTTGATATCAATTACATATTGATTTACAATTGATATTTTGTCTTTTTTGGTAATTAAATCTTATAACTGTCAGTTTGTTTCTTTGATTTGAGGCCATTAATAGCTTAGAATTTAAAAAAACTAAATTTTAGTGTTTATATGTACTGCTTATTCACTTCTCCGATCAAGTAAATTCTATACACAAATTACCTGCTTTTATATTTTATTACAGTTATCATTCCTAATCACATGTATACTCTCTGTAATATGAACAATTAATATTATAATGTATACATTTATTTTTAAGTGCTTGTTATAAATTTGAAGGATGCAATGCCCCTGCTGTCAAAGAAATGAGTCCATATTTCTTCTCAATGAATCAAACAAACTACTTGCGGTGGCTCTAAGGAACATTTTCACTGGTACTGTGATGCCTAACCAGAAGGAAGAGTAACAGTAAGATAAATCTGTCCAACATTTCTGTAGTTTGGTGTGCGATGAGGCAAATTAGCTCTAAGATTGTGAGCAACTGGAGGATTTGAGAATCCAACTGATGCGGTGCAAGTGGTCTATGGTCATGTGCAACCTTTGCAAGTACTGGAATCTTAACAGGAAAAAGCTGACAAAAGGGCAAATGCACATGCATTTAAAGCAGCTTTAATTCACAATCTCCTGATACAAATATAGAGGGCTCAGGCGCACAGTAGATTGAGACATTCAGCCAATCTTTCTGACCAGAAAACCAGCGCTCAAGGGACATCAAGCACTCATCACTTGTAAATGTGATAGATCCAGATAATTAACCTTTCTGAGACATGACCTGTGCCCTTGCAGTGCAAATAGGTTCTACCATGTACTCAATCATGCCTCTGCATGTTCGGGGAGGAATGTGAAAATGTGTATGTTAACAGTGGATGCAACATAGGCAGTGGTGAAGATGAAAATTTTGAAATTTTGTAAATATTGTAATGATTTGAAATAAATAAATGTATTTATTCATATTGTTCATGGTTTCATTGAATATTTATTCATTATATATGCAACATGAATATGATTTAATAAATCTTAATGGACCAAATTCATTATTGACATCTATTGAAATTATGAGAAGGGTCAACTTATTTGAAAAATGAACATATGTTTACTAATGAATAAGTTAAATTTCAGTCTCCAAACTTTAGAAAATAAATGAATATAATCGACCAAATACTGTCAGTTAAGCAAACTTAAAGCAACAGTAAAGAAAAGAAGACTGTTTCACTTACAGTTACAAAATAATTTTTGTCCTGCACCTCGCAATTTCAAGTATTTAAAGTATTTTTAAGCAATTTAATGGCCGATTTTTGGGAATTAAATTGCCTTCAAATTGTAGTTATTGCCGATTAAAATGGATATCTAAAACCGCCATTTATCACATATCGCCATTTTTAGCGCTTCTTTCAGTGTCAAGGCCCGTTGGTTTTATAAGACGGCCACCCTGAAATAAACCATCATACATTTGTCTAACAAAACACCAAGTCAAACCAAGTAGATTGCCGAGGAAAAAAGAAAAATAAGGCTCAAAGTGTCTAGCCTACAAGGTATGATTAGTGATTTTAGAATAAATCTGAATAAGCCTGAAAAATATTGTCAAGGAAAATTAACTTACCTAATTTAAGTGGTAAAGGTCCAACAACAAATCGGAAGTTAAAACCGAAGAACTGTTTATAGTATTTTAGTGGTCGTATAACTCCATCAAAACAGAAGTCTACAGAACTGGGAAATTCTGATTTTCCAATTTTCAGCAGAAGTCCAGGATTTTTCATAATCTAGAAAATATACAATTGAAAAAATAAAATATACAAGTCACTTTATTGTATTCATTTTCAAATTGGTGTTTTTAAGGGTACTGACAGGGTCTATGATCATTATAATTTAAAAATGAGGTGTTCAATGCATATGATTATTCAATAATGCATCATCATTTCCCAACAAAATCTCATTGAAAAAAAATGGAATTTATATTTCCTGTTGCTAAGTATTAACATAGGCACCTCTACGATTTATCATCAATTTAACAGCTTGCTATTTTGAGGTGGAAAGCTAACTCCATCCTGAACAAGATCTTATCAAGAAAATTGGCATAGGTAAGGACAAGCATATATATAAGAGTTCAAGTTTATACTTTAAAAAATGCCAGAATGAGAAAAAAGTGAAAATTTCACAAAAAATTGCAGAAATTCAATAAAAAAACTATAATCTTATAGAGTTGTTTTCTAATTTGAGCTGTATGTTAATTCTAAAAATCATTTTTGTAAATTAGAAATAAGAATAAGTGCCACAGTTTTCTTTGCATATTATTTGTGGTGGCTGACAGTGCATAAAGTAGGTTTTTTAATTTGGATGCAATATTAATTAATGATTAGTAGTTTAATTACTACCAATTTTCAAACATCTACTGTAAATAACATAGACATTTAGAAAATTTGATAACCTTTCTGCTTCATGCCCATGGGAGTTCAATTCCCACAATGAAAATGTAAATATGTGAAAAATGACAATTGCACAAAAATGTTTAACATCCAGAAAAAGCCAATTAGACTGCTTTCCTAATTCAGGCTGCATTTTAGTCCTATGTTTCCTTTTTGTAAGTTTGAGAATTATAAGTAACATGGTTTTTCCTTAATGGTCATCATGGCAGCAGGGTCCAAAATAGGGTTTTTTCTTTAATTCTGGTGCAACATTACATAATGCTAAACAGCATTTTCTACATCAATTTTTAATGATATGATAAAAGTACCATGCATATTCAAAAAATGTGACTAGCAAAGGTCTTCAAGCCCATGAAAGCTCAGTCACACCTTGAAAATGCTGATATGTGAAAAATTAAAATTTCACAAAAAAACTGTACAACTTCTACAAAAAATAAACAATCAGACTTGTTTTCCATTTGAAGATGTATATTGATTCCATTAATATTTTTGGTAAGTTTACAAATAGTTCATGGTATGGTTTTTCTTACATTAATTGTCACTATGGAAGCAGTCCCCAAAATATTGTTTTCTTCAATTTTAATGCAATATTACATTATGTTTAACAACCTAATCACCACCAATCTTTAATTGTTTACTGCAGGTAGCATGGGTATTTAGAAAATGTGACTAAAAATGTCTGTAGTTAGCCTCCATAATCCTGTGTCTATATCATGTAACTTAAACTCTGGTGTTTATAAGTGATTATATAACTTACTGCATCAAGTACAGCAGTGCGAAGCTCATTCATGAACATTAACACTTCTCTTCTTTTTCCAATGTTCATTTGAAGTAAGTCATCCACAAAGTATAGCAGTGCCATGCTTTGTACTCGGTCTTCAGTTCCGTCATATTCAACTCCTGAAAATAAATAAAAATAATACATTTGTGAACTAGGCTTAATTAGGTATCTATATCTCCTTTGCCTCAATCAACTTATACTGTTATTTGTCAAAAAACATAATGAAATTAATCAAACATTTTGGAATGATAAATCTAATGCACTGGGCATAGAGAAGTAGTCTAGTTGTACCGACTGAGATCTAGAGTTCAATTATACTAATTCATGACTAGACCACCATGTTGAATGTAAAAGCAAGCAAATCTGCATTATATAATAAAGCTTACCGGCTATGAAAATCATTTAAGTAGAATTTGAAAAGTCCAAGAATCTAAAACTGTATCATATTATTCCTGTTTTACCTGGATTGCATGAAACTCCTGCAGGATTTTGAACTCCCAGGTGCATATTTTTGAACATTTCAATGGTCTCCATACATGTTGGATAGAAAGCAGAGCATACTGAAATGTTCGACGTCACATATACCCCATTCCTAATTCTATTGAATTGAGCTGTGGTCTTCAGGGTGAAATCACCAGAGGTACCAAATGGACGCATTATGTTTACATCATCATTCCCTAAAAATTGAAATGAAATATAGCCAAATTTTATCAAAATACACTTAGTCCATGAATAAGACAAAATTATGCTTATTACACATGTCACTATGATTTCTTTTGTTTCTGTGTTGGAAATGTACATTTCAACGTGTATTTTGCAAGACTGTTTTTACTCACCCTGTATATCAAAACTTGTTACATCATCATCTATCTGTATATCAATTTTTCCACTGCATGTATTCAGGCGCATGTCAAACTTAATGACCTTCTTTACTAAAATAAACTTGACCAGCAGTCCACAAGTCAGTCCATGACAATCTCTGTGTGGCGTGCAGAAATGCCCAAAGCCTCTGGCTATACCACGTTTAATATTGGGACAAACTGAAATCATTTACACAGATAGAAATTATAAGACAATGTTTCAGAAGGAACCTACAACACACAAAACAAGGCACAAATGACACATTCTAGTACACCGTATGACTTTGAAGGAACATTTGTTTGACAGTCACTATTGTGTTTGTTAATTATTTTAAATCACTGTGAAAACATTTTTACTGCTCTTGACAGTTGTTTTACATTTATCAGGTGCCATCAGTTCTTACTTAAATATATGTTCATTTGAATGGATGTTTACATTCCTACCTCCTTCAGGTATCTCTGTGTAATGCAACACCAGTTGCTTAAATGAGCCTGATGAATCTTGCCCTCGTCTTTTTAGAATGTACCTGAGCCTCCGGGGTGAAAAGTTTTCTGGGTGTTCTACTTTATTTGTACGAATGACTTCAGCTAAGTCTTCCACATATCTTTCAACTGTATGCTGTTTGGCAAATAACTTGCTGGCGTTGAGTATAAATAACACCTGCCGCACTTCTAGGGCATTGATATCAATCTGATCAAGAATACTGGGGGGTTTCTTTTTGCTGAAATGCAAAAAAATATTGCTTGTAGATAAAATGTTAAAATGGCCAAAATCGGTCAAAATATAGCTATTTCCCCCACCATTTCTTTTATATAAAATACTTATCAAGATAACAGTATCAGAAAATTCAACACTTTTAGAGCAAACATTTTCCTTTTCATTGTTACTGTTCACCACCCCACTTGTTTCTGCTTTGAGGCGCCCCCCCCCCCCCACACCCCCACACACACACCTTTATCTTCAAATAAACAGCTTGAAAAGTGATGGAGTAAGATCATAATTTTGTTTGTAGCCTAATTCTGTACCTAAGCCTAGATTACATTTGTCATTCAATGTCCATAAAGTGCTCATATACCACATTATCTCATAACATGACCAGGCTTATTTTTGTATTATCTAAGCAGGTAAAAAAAATAAATCCTACCATATTCTATCTACCTTAAACTATATAAAAAAAACCAATATGCTAGAAGGCAACACATACACCAATGTACATGATCGTAGTGCTGAAAAAAATGATATTTTAGCTAAGAATAAAAACATTAAAACATATATGAAAAATTTTTAAATCTTGTTTGGAAGAGCAAGATGTCACATTGTAACTTTTGCATTTTTTCAACATTTATCAAATGGTCTTACCTTGTGAAGTCTGCTAATTGATCCAAGCTACCAAAAGAACCCAAGGTACCCCGAAAACGATCAGCCAAGGATTTTGTTGCACTTTCATCCATCCCTTTTGGTCGCCATGGTGTTTCTGGATCTGGAGTCTCGTCAAAGAATTGATCAACACTTTCTTGGCCATGACGCTTAACATCCTCTACAACTTTCTTGGCATTTTCAGGGTCAGTAATGGGCTCAAGATCAGAGATTTGTAAGTTGATTATTAAGCTAAACTGGTTACATACAGGAACCCAACGTGGTACAGGGACAATCTTGTCTATGTATGGTGTTGGGTCAATGTACTTATAATCAGCATCAGAGGGCTTTGATATTTTAGGCTTTTTTCGCATTGCAACATGGATAAAGTTTGGGTCACATCTAGAAGTTAGAGCTTTGCCAATTTCATCTCCAGCACTTATTACAGTTGAGTAGGAGTTTGAGATTTTCCGTATTGGTTCTATGTTACTGATAATGATTTCAAAGCGACGCAATCCCCTATCATAAGGTGCAATCAAAACTTCAGTGTCACTGCGTCGTTTCACAATGCCTGTAACAGGGGAGCTTACCTAATAAACACATAAAATATAATTAGGCATTTGAAATATTACAATGAGCCCTATTAGTGATATATATAATATATAAACAATATAAATCATTTCCTACAAGATTTGGCAAAAGCCTTGTTTACACAAATGGCTTGAAATTAAGGGATTAATTAAGCAAAAATTTTTTTAATTAAAGAGACCAAAAAATTGTAGATAAAACTGATACATGTGCAAACATATTAAGATGTACAATTATCTCTAATTAAATCAGCTGCTTTCATTGGAGATCAAAAACACTGAGCCAATGGTACAACTGAAAGTTACATATGAAGTAAGTGAAGATTACCTGACATATATACTGGCTGCGGGGTATATTAAACCACTCTTACAAGTTTCTTACAGGACTTAAATAAAGTTCAGCTGCCAAATGATAAACTTGACCAATTCATCTAGCTCTCTAGTTTGCATAAGTTTCCCAAATGATTTTAAATTTAATTTAGAAATTTGTGATGCATAACTGCTGCACTCACTATAGCACACATTTTCAAATGAGGGTCACTGGAAACAACCAAGGGTTATGCAGAAAGAATACAGAAAATATCTATTCAAATGTCATTTTGGGGAGATATGAAACTATTCCCTTTGGTATTTAGTTATGCTGTTTGAAAGTATAAAATGGCATTTGGTGGGGTATAGTGGCAATTTCAAGGTTAAACATCATATGTAACTTTAAGTTTTTCACATTTAAACTCATTTTTTTTCATCATAGCTTTCAGTTATTTTTTAACCATTGGGTCACCTTACTACCCATTTTTCTTATCACATCAATCCCAGGTAAGAGAGTTCTGTTTTTGCCTTCATATGGGAAGATACCACAGCCACAGTCTTTTTCACAATCACTTCTGCGAGATGGGAACTGGCGGTGAAACTTTGGGCCAAACAGCTTCATAACAATAGACTTCCCTTTCTCAACCCTAAGATTGAAAACCCAAATGTCAAAAAATTAGGTTATACAAATTATTGCTGAGTTGCTGCTCAATTAATGTAATACTATATAATGTCAAAATTTTGCGCTATAGGAGAAAAGCTTGTGCTACAGGGATTTATATTCATGCAATATGAGCTAAAACCCACAATCATTTCTGTAGGAACCAAATTAGGGTGTCCAATTGAATAAGGCCAGCAGTCCTTTTGATGACAAAGAGTTGCATTTTTTTTTTTTTTTTACTTTTTTTTACTAATCTCAAAGCTATATTTGTCCAATAAGTAAAATAAACAAGATTTCACTTCCTTAAGCTTACTTTTTATGCACTAAAGTAATGCAAAAGTAAGTGCACATCATTCAACATTTTATTCTACTAGTATGTATACGTACATGTGGCCAAAAGACATTTCCTGCAATGAACACAGGCATATAAAAAACTACACAAAGGAGATGGTAAATATATACTGAACAAAAATATAAACGCACGAAACTAAAATGGTCAGTTGAAATGAATAATCATGAAATATGCCCATGCAGGTTGATAGTTTATTTGTGAACTGATGGATTCGTTTTGATCGATTATAGTGGTGTGGTTTCACTTGGCTGCTCCCGGTGAGTATACTCAAAGGTTCAGTTTTTACACCCATAAGACTAATGGAGCATGACGGAGTAGAGGTCAATCTGCAAGACCAATACTCGGACACTCTCTACCATCTAGGCAATAAAAGGACACACCAAAATGTGTATTTCTGCCACTTGTCAACATGCCACAGATGTCTGGAACCATGATCAAGGGAGCATGCCATCAGCATGCTCAGTGCTGGCTTGTCAGTAACAGAAGTTGCAGCATGCCTGAATGTGCATCATTCCACTGTCAGCCGTCTGGGAACACGCTTCAGAGACACTGGTAGCATTAGGAACCACCCTCATGCACCATGTCGCCCAACAAACAGCTGTGGAATGTTCTGGATCAGAGTTTTCAGCCATCATGTTCCAGCTCTCGAAAATGTTCGCCAACTGCAAGAAGCACTCCAGGAGGAATGGGATAATATCCTTTAGGCCTCTATTGACAACTTAATGATGTCCATGTGCCACTGGTGTACTGCTCTGCACAAATTTAATGGTGTCTGTGAACTCAGGATGTTGACCCCCAGGGTGTTCTGTATTTGATGCCCTTACTCTTGGACTATGCATTTAAACTTCCCCTAATGCTCTCAAAGTGATGTCTATTTGTCGAGAAAAATATGCTGTTATTTTTGGCTATATACTCTAGTCCCACATATGAAAATAAATCTACATATTCTTTCGTGCTTTTAAATTTTTGTTCAGTATACATGTACACTGCATAGACATTTAACAGAAAAAAGGCCATTCCCATTCCAGTATGAACAGGTGCATTCCAGCAACTATAGAAAAATATCCAACACTGCAACCTCAATACTCGCAGATTTCATGAACAACTTTTGTACAGTGTGGATCTACATGTACCTGACATTTATAAGAAGGCCCAGGTGGCTTTTTATACCACTTAGCAGTCAGTAAGAAACAACATCTACTCAAATGAGTCGGAGAAAGGCCTACGCCCAAGTAGGTTGTTAGCTATGGGTATGAAAGCATTTCAGCTTATGTGTTCTGGAGATCTCTAGGTTGCTCAGTTACCTTTTCAGGTTCAGAATTAATTCTGCTGACTCTTATAGTCTGACTATACACAAAAGACTTTTTGATGTGAGAAAGATGAAAACCCAAATATTTGGGCAATATTTTCAATTAGTAAATAATGATAGATGACTCTGTACCTACATGTTACGTATATCCAGGTATGACCATTTCACTTCATGTACTACTTCCATCACTGCATTATAGGAATCTAAGAATGGCTTTGAAGTCTTCACAATATCCGCAAAAGGTGTGAGGAGTTTATCAAACTTTTCAAAAAAAGCTTTAATGATCCGAACCTCTTGTTCTTCCTACAATAAACAATAAATGTTATCTGATAAATGCTATATTATTTATTATTCTTCAGAATCATTAATTCTTCAAGGCATCATTTTGTCACAAAAAAAATTCAAATTTGTTTTTTAATTAGAAATACTAATTCATTAAGTAATGCATGGTGAAGTGAATTTACCACAGTTGGTATGCCACTTCTTTTTCCAACATTTAATGGTTGAAAGGCACCAGTTTCATCACTCTTTCTAACACTCTCAAGAAATTGTGAGATTTTCTTCCTTGCATCTTTAATGTCTTCCATCAGATCAGTGAATTCTTCCCCAAGGTTCATCCAATATGGCATCTTTCCTAAATGGGTTTACACACATCTTCAAACATACATTAGACTTAATGTGATGTGCGTGTTTGTGTATCTGCATGTGTAAAACAACTGTAGTCAATGTTGCATTATCAGCAATCAGAAAGTACTTGAATATTATGTTTATTGATTCCCTACACTTTCTGTACACAAAAAATCAATTCATTCCCTTGTTCATGTGACCATAAGATATTGAGGGGAAGCACAAGTTGGGTTACAATAACACTACTGCAATTAGATAATATAACCTTCCCACTGTACTAAACATATGATGGAAAGTTTATACCCAACAATTGCATATACACTTAAAGTAGTTTTGACACATTTATGGTTTACACACAAAGAAAATATTTATTACTCTTTTTAAACACAAAGATAATTTTAGATAAATTGTATCTTTTAAATAAAAAAAACTTCTTTTTAAAATCTTATGCTAAATCCCCTTAATCAGACTAATACTATAACTGTAGTATCAAATAATAAATGGATGACTGTATAGATTGTAACAGTACAATTGGCTCTCTCACTGTGTAGTTTATATTTCTAAAAACAATACGAAATGATCATTATATCACTTTGCATATAGTCTAAATTAAAAAATTGAAATTGTTCAAGGATTCAAAAAAGCCACATGGTAAACTGAAAACCAAATAGGCATGGATTTTAATTACTTACATTTAACTTTTCTAACTACATACCTGATAGGAAAAAGCAGGATTCTTCAATCTTTACCTTAGCTCCTATAATCATGGATACAGACAGCTTTAATCTGCAATCAAAACAAAAAAATAGTAACCATGTGAATAGTATTATACAATGTAATTTTATTTACTTCAAGCCATGGAAATAAAGACATCGCATGTGAGCATTTTGAATCATACATATCCTTATTATTATATCCTTCAACTGAGCTATTGAATGAAATGGGCAATTTAAATTTGGTTTACATACTTCATGAGAGCTGAGCCAATGTTTGAAAGTGCTCCCATAGGATTATTAAAGATTGCTTTCACTGCTCTCAGTATCAGTTTAATTGCTTCAAATGTCGTTTTAGCTGCGAATGGGAAGTTAACTGTTATGGTGTCCACAATTGCCTAGAAAACATCAGCATGAAAAATGGAGAACTAAGTGAAGCAATAACATTTCAAGACTATATCTTATACATAATTTTTGCACAAGATATTATTTTCCACAATTATTATACTAAGTAGCATTTTTAAATTTAAAAAAAACAAATTCTTTCTAAATATAATATTATTCATAATTCATTTAGGAAAATTATATAGTCTTCCTGGTAGTTCAGAATTATATATCCACATCAGGTTGTTTCTTTTGTCATTTCTAAGATCTAAGTTGGAAAAGATAAGTAGCTTTGCAAGGATGCATAGACATAAAAATGTGTCTTCTGCTGAATGGAAATATGTTGAACAATAATCAGTCCACTTACATTATAAAAGCCAAGAATATCTGATTGAACATCTTCTACAAAATGTCGCACTCGGCGTACAACCTCTTTCATAGCAGCTATCCATGGCAAACCCTCATAGTCACTTATGTCACAGACAAATTGCTCCAGGTTTTCAAGCAGGGTTCTTAAGGCATCTGGCAAATTTTTGATGGCCTTTACTGCATCGTTAAATAGGCCTTGCAATCCTCTGCCTTTAAATAAGCTGACAATTTTCTTAAAGGTATTGATTGACTTGGCAATTGGCCGTCGAAAAGTGTCAATGACTTTGTCAAAGAGTTTTGCTAAATCTCTACTATCGTTGATCCCAAAATCCTAGAATCAAGTGCATATACATTCATTTCAATAACATAAATTATTTCTGATCCAAAAAATCTTAATAAAAGTGAATATATACATACCGGGGTAAACAAAGTCAATATAAAACATATATATGCAGTGTTAGAAATTAACGCTGGAATGTCTGCCTGGGGCTGACAACTTTCAGAATGGGCTGAGAAGTTTTCCCACCTGGCAGACATTCAGTCCAGCTACTTTTCAAGATGGCTGGATTTTCGGTCCAGCAACTAATTTTCCTAAGAGGCAAACACTGTATACATGTAACTATGTGAATATTAATAGTTCAACTGTGACAATGGCCTGTCATGTAAACTTAGAATAAATGGTTAAAAACTGAAACCACAGTACTTTTATTCACAAGAAGAGGCTTGTGTTTTTAGTGTAGGGCAATGGCCACTGGTGTGATGTTGTATTAGATTATTTTATCAAGTAAAATTACATACACATTATTACCTTCAAAACATTGAGGTCATACTCAATATATCCATGGTAACATGCCAAAGCTCTGAAGACATCAACTTGCAGCCGCAATAGTCCAATATGTGCTTCAGCGAAAGCAGTGTTATAACTGTACAAATCAAAAAAGCTGGACAGCAAACCTAAAATTAAAGATGTGTAAATTAACTATCCTTCCTCTGCCATTTATTAAAACACATATATCCTCCTTAACTCACACCCCTTAATGACATATCTCACAGAAAGCAAATATTATGAATGTTTTTTATTATGTTTATGACAAAATTGTTTATGTTTCAATTCTTTTTAAAACTATTATTCAACATCAACTTAAAAATATACAGATTGAAATTCTATAATTAATTCATAAACCATTCAAATTGTGGAAGGCTGGATATCACTTTACCTAGTTTCAGCTCCATTTTGTTTCTGGCCTCCAATCCAAAACTTGCTCCAATTTTGCTATTACCGATTTCTTTGCTCCACTGTATACCTGGGACCTCTATTTTGAAACTTAGTGCTTTGAATATGTCTTCAATGAAGCCTCTTTTCAATCTCATAACAGTATGATATGTGTACTGCTTTCTGAAATTTTGAAAAGTACCTTTTTATTGACAATAAATATATAAACTTAAATAATAAAAGTAATTTTGGTTACCTCAAAAATTGCTAAAGAAGATGGAAATGAAACATTGTATTGAGAATATTGAGAATATTGAGAATAAAACCCGTAGCACCAAAACAGCAACAGTGAATATTATAACATAGCGTCTCTTTTCAATGTTTTTAATGCTGCAAACTGATGGCAACTAATTATAGGCTCAGATATACAGATGATGGCATGCTGCTGATAAAAAACGTTATCGCTTTGTGAAATTTATGATCTAACTCTGAACAGAATTCTGATGCACTAAAAAGTGAAAATTAAATTTATTGATTTTGATTTTTGCACATATCTGCAACAGAAAACACACTGCTCACCCCAAAATAATGTTGTGCTGTTCTCTTGTCATATTAAAATGTTTGGGATGTTTTTTTAATGCAGCAAATGCTTTATCACGTATAACATCAATGTCATCATTAACAGCCAAATCAATCAGTGCAGTGGCACTCTGAAAAAAAAAGGAAAATTCAAACAAAGTATTTTTCAAATTATCCATTCCTGTATATCAACATAAAATCATGGAGCTTTTATTTAAGGACACACCATCGGTTTTGTCTGCGTGTACCTATCCGTCATATGTTGTCATACATGTACATGCATCACTGTATTTCAAGGTACATATACTGGTACCTTATGACAAGTGTAGGATCTCAGTGCATTCACAGCAGTCCGTCGCCATGCTGGGTGTCCCATATTTGGCTTAGCATATGATAGAATATGGTCTAATGATGTAGGGGAACCTGCATTACCAACTGCTTCCAGTAGAACCATTTTGGTGAATTTGTGATGATGCTCAGTTTTGTTGAAAAATGTGGGAGAACGTTTGCCCCGATGTTGTGGCGGGGCCAAGGAACCTATAAAGGTGAAGCAAATTACTCAAGTTTAACCAACAAGTTTACCAACAAAACCCTTAAACATCTAAAATATATGGAAGGAGTTGCATTGTTATGATCTTTCCAATCAAGAACAAGCTCGCAAAGAAAATGATTTGCATGCACACATCTACTGTATATTACACTTTATTAAACTTAACTTGCTGTATACATGGGGCCGTAGCAATAGTCTGAAGGTTCAATAGTCCGAAGGTTCATTGTTCAGAATGTTCGCTATAGAACCTTTGGACCAATGAACCCTTGCTTTAAAAAGAAACCCCGAAAAAGTAAGCATTTTTCGGACCAATGAACCTTCGGACTATCGAGACGCCCCCGTATACACAACACAAGACAGAACAAAATAAAACCTTCATCATGATGTTCCAGCCAGTTTTCCAGGTGTTCCACCAGCTTTGCTGCACTCAAGTGGTTGGTTTCATTAACATATCTTGCAAGACTTCCAATGGCAAGGCAGGCTCGTTTTTCGTTCTTGGTTATATTGCTATGTTTCCCTGAGAAAAAAGTGAACTTGAATTATGTAGCTAAGGAAATAAGTTTTCAAAATGAAACTTATATCATGGCATGCTTACTAGTAAATTAATTAGTTCTTAAAGTTAACTTTCAAACATCATCTTCATTATGTAAACAAATCTGCACATCAAAATAACTTGGTGAAATGTTACCTATATTTTCCCCAAGTGGACCAAAGCATAGTTTGGCAACAGAGGAAATGAGATCCTAAAATCAAATGAAAGCCCACCAGATATGATATCGTACAGTAAATAACATCTTATCATATCTTTAATTACCTTCCTGACAAAAACACTTAACTTTACAAACTTTAAGGCTTAATGATGTCAATTTTGAGAAACTTAATATACTGTAGGAGCAAATGGTTTTAGTTACTTCAGAAACATGATAAATATATATATAATGAGTATAAGACCATATTTTTCATCATGTTTACAAACCAATGTTGGTTTCTTTATTGCATGCATATGGTACATCGTGCGTTGGACCTCCTCTTCATGTGGGTCAACTACATTGAGTACATGCTGCACAAGTAACTGCTGGGCTTCCTTAGTCTCCAGTTGGATGATCAAATCAATGAACAAATGGCGATCAGCTTGACATACGCTATCATTTTCTTGGCACTTGTGCTTCAGATACCTCTCTCCAAGCTGGACCATGTCAGTAGGGCTCAACTGCTCCAGGTACTGACGTAAGGTAACTACACACTCTATTCTCTCAGTCGCACCTGTAAAAAATTATACACACTCTCAGATAATGTCAATAGACAAATCAAAAAGCCAATAGAGTTGCATTGTGTCTACAAGTATGCTCCTTCACAAAATAGTCTGTGGTGTATGTTGCACAACACTCATAGTTCTATCAATAATATTATTTAAAGTTTTGGTCTTTTAGTTTATTATTTTTTAGTTAATTTTAAAATACCTTATGATTTTATTATTTAAGACACATTGTAAAACTTCAACCTTTAGGTTGCGATTTTAGCAATTAAATTATTATTATATTATTATTATATTATAAATAAATTATTATTATTATATTATCAATAAACTGGTCATAGTGGAACTGAAAAATTACTGAAGAGATATATGTGTTTGATTGTCTTTTTTCTTGACTTTAAAGGGTTTTAAGAATATATTCATCATTTATGAATTAAGAGAAAAACCATATTATATTGCAAAAGACAAATTAATACACAAACATTTAACAATGGCATTCAAAGAAAGAAAATAATTACCTGACATCTATAGGCAAGGTAGAGGATGAAATATCTTTGCATTTCTTAGAAGAATAAGCAATTTTACATTAACAACAGGTAAATTTTGACTGAAGCAAAATACAATTTATATACTATGGGGCTAATGAAAAAAAATCCAAAAAATGAAAAATGAAAAATAACATATGAAAAAGGAAGTACATGATAAGAAGATATCCTTGATACAACCAGCAACTGATTGGAAAGAGAAACCTTTCCCTTCCTGATCCCTGACCAAGGTTTCAACTGTATGTTAGCCATAATTGTGTAAATGGGCACTAGGAATAGTCAAGAATGACTATTTTTGAACAGATGTAGGTGGTTACCATAATAACCCATATGTTAATTGGAACTGATACACATTATAATTTTTGCATTTGGCTTGAAAACACATTTTGGCTTTGCCTTTTTTTATGAGCACTTTTTTGGTTCACACAATTTTTAGCTTGTTAATTTTGTATCATCTTTTAGCTTAATAAATATTTTGGCTATTTTGCAACCCCACAAATTGATATATATCCATCAGTAATATAAACTGGTGAGTATGTGTGCATATTTCAATTTGTGCAGTTGCAAAATGAAGAAGTCTTAGAAAGAGCTGGAAGGGAAGGAAATTGCTTGGAACAATAAGAAAGAGGCAGTTAATTTTTTTTTTTTTTTTTTTTTTTTTTTTTGACATGTAATGAGGAAAGGAGGCTTGGGAGTGTATAGCAGTCACAGGGAAAATGAAAGGAAAGAGGAAAACCATGCATCAGTTTTTGTCAAGAGTTTAGGTGTATGGATGGGTGTGTCCAGCACAACAATTCTGATATATCGTATATATAAAAAAGGGAGCTGTGGAGGTCCATGACAGTCAACTTCCTGCTAAGACAATATATGCTTTGAGAGAGAGAGAGAGAGAGAGAAAGAGACTATTTTTTTGGATATATTATATCAATGTAAATTTTCAGGCCTTATCATTACATGAATGTTATAACTCAACATTATCTAATGTTATGTACTAATTACATCATTCATTCTATTTGTCACCGGCCAAACTTCAAACATCATTCTTGTGTTTGTCTTTTATCGATAATATCAAGTGAGTGAACAAGGAGACAAAGTTACATTTACTCACCTTCCCCTGTGTGATTGTGGATACATGATAAGGCTTGTCTGATGAAAGGGTTTGCTTCTTCTAAGCTCATATGCACTGTCTCTTCCTTCAAAATAAATAATGAAATAAGACAAAAGAAATGCATTAACTATTTTACAGTGCACAGAAAAATTAATCAAGAACAATACAAAAAGAAAATATAATTATCACAGTAAAAGGTGCTCCTTTTACAGGTATTAAAAATGCCCAATATGCTTAAATGTTAAAACTAAAGATGTATATATCGTTAGCCAGTACCTTTGGAACCTCGATACTATCGGCAGTTAACCCCTTTAAACCCACTGTGTCCTGTATAGATTCAGTTGATGTTAATTTTCTAGAAGAGAATGAGGCCTTTATAAAGTGTAACATACAAGATCAAATAACATTACATTTTAATGAGCTGGGGCACATTCATCAAATTCTCTCTCCATTTTTTTTTTCTTAGAAAATTGGAAAACACTGTAACTGCCATACATTCCCTTAATTTCAAAATCTTATTGAAAACTACCATTAATATTTTCATTATGTTTTGTGGAGTCTTATACCCTTAAGGCATGTGCCTCTTTTTCATTTGTCACATGATGGCCAACCAAAATCATTGATAGCAAAACAAAAAATTTTTAAAAACTTTTCAACTTACCTTTTAGTTTTCAAAACAACCTCTGTAGTGGACTTTGTCTCGATATCAGGGAAACCTTATGTTAACAGATAATTCATTAATTTTTAATTTAATTCAATTTAGTAATTCGATCAAAGTTTGGAAAATTATAAAACATTCAGAGCAATGACCCAAAGTTCAATTCAAAATCAGATACTGTTTACTTCGAGACTTCATTACTTACTCCCAGTGATGTCTTCTTTTATTATTCTCTCTCCTGGCACTCTTTGTCTGATATTTTGAAAAAAGAGAAGTATTTTATAAACAATCTTATAATCACACGATTCCATAAATGGTTCTTAATTAAAGTACATAGGTTTACTCATAATATATTTTACTGACAACACAAATTACACATACAAATAATATTTATCACCACCCCAATTCAAAGACACTCTTAGCCTCAGAAATTGTATTACTTACATGATAGAATATGGGTTAAAAGCTAAATTGGATTTCAATTAAATACCATAACATTAAACTAAGCAGCACTGCAATTAGACTGCTTTCAGTTATTGATTCAAACAATGCACCTTTGGAGGTGTTGGCGTTTTTCTGGATCTGTGTGATCTTTCAACATTATTCTGTCCAATGCCAAAACATGCTCTATGTGTCCCATATGATGTATCTTCATTGTCTACAATTGAAACAATTTGTCAGCTGATCTGTACATGATTGAAGTATTTTCAACTCACTCATGAAGTAGTGAAAATGGTACATGCATGTACTGGTACGTACCTTCATGTAATGCTTTGAAAATAATGACTTTGTATATTTATGGCTTTCAAGGTTGTCTGCGAAAATGGATGATTGGTGTGGATTACCCAGTGTCCTAACTACTGCACAACTGCTACAGAAAGTTAATAAATGCCTTTATACTCATATTTTTGCTAAGAATCAACTTACCTTGTCATGGTGTCTCTCTACATCACGTGTGCTACGGTGCTGGCGTCGAAGAAGGATACCATCAGGTACACGTGATACCTCATATGACTGTTCTGCTTCACCTGTTTAGAACATGAAAATTTTGTTTTCGTTACAGAGGGTTCCTTTTTTTCCTTCTTTTTTTAGTAATATTTTAAGTACAAATATTTAGCTTTTAGTATGAATCACTGAAAGATACTCTTATCACATTTTAGGAGCCCAAGGACCATTATATATATATATATATATATTTACTTATATATAATATTATGTCTTCTAAATAAAGACTATATTTTCATTGGGTCCAAGATCACACTCAACTTGCACTTTAAACATTTATGTTTATAACATTGTTTAACAATGAATTAAATAAAATTCCAATTACACTTATTGCATGCACTTAATTAGGTACTGCATGGTACTTGTGATACTTGAACATGTATCTTTTTTGCATAAATCACTGTTTTGTATATTGAAGTAGTAAACACTGTGCTAACATGATATAGGGGAAAATGATACACAATATCTTGCCTGTGTGGTCCGTTTCATTCAGCTTGTATTGCCATGATTCTGCATCTTGAAGCTTGGAAATAGAAAGAGTAGTTCAGTTACGAATATAAAACATTTATCTAAATGCTAGGTACAAGCAATTGCCACGTTGTATATTATGCTAAGATCGAAAACCGAGGTACATGTAAGTGCAAAAATTACCGTTTTTGCATGGTTTTGGGATTTTCTTGATATCAAAGTGATTCAAACGGCATCATAAAGCTGGGTAAAAGGACTACCGAAGGAAACCAGGGATTTATCCTTAATTTTTTCTTATTTCTTTTATCGCCTTTTGCCTTTAACGGGTTATTCACTTAAAAATACGATACAGCTAGGTAACTTTCAAATAAACGATTTCCTCGAAAATACCTGATATCCATCTATAATCTACTGTACATACTCACTTCACAGCAATTACTGGGGCCGTAGCGATAGTCCGAAGGTTCAATAGTCCGAAGGTTCATTGGTCCGAATGTTCACTATAGAACCTTCGGACCAATGAACCCTTGATTAAAAAATCGATGAAAATGTTACCACTTTTCGGACCAATGAACCTTCGGACTATCGAGACGCCCCCCAATTACTAGTAGCCTAATTTTCGTCGCCATAATTCTGCAACCAAAGCGATGCCTGTGCCTTCTTTCTACGACCACAGCAATGCCAGTTTCATGGTCGCACAAAGGACGCAGAAAGGACGCCGTCCAATGCAAAGGGGTTTTAGATAGGGAGATATACTTGAAATCGATTCACTTAACTTGTCAATCTGGAAAGCCTTTTAAACGACCGAAAATGTTCACATGCGGGTGAACAAAGCTTAGGCCTATTAGTCAAATACTTTGCTGAGAATTTTACCTGTTATCGGTTAAACGATCAGATGAAACCATCGTTCATTATCATCTAATGATGCATTGATTGGGTGCTATGAAATGCCAGAAATTGGCGTTTTTGTAACATTTCCGATCACGCGTTAGACTTGTAAGTGTGCGGCCATTTTGATTGACATGTACAGCACTGCACAGGGTCCTAGCCTACCGGGGTAATCATGTAGATCGGGGGTCAAGACTATGTAGAAGGAAGCGCAAACAAAGGCGATTGCGTCTAATTGCAGTTTAGAGGTGTGAAGTTGCATTGAAGGCCTTCCTCGGCAATAGAGCAATTTTACCTGGGGGCTTCCTTCGTCGTTATCGGTAAAGTGATCAGATGGTATTATTTGTATCTGTCGGTTGAAACTGCCCATCTCTCGTGTTAATACGAGTTTTTGACAGTTTTTGACGACGCAGGATTATTTACGCGTCATTTGGCGCCTGTCAGCTAGGTCAACAGAAAAAGCTGTCTTGCCAAGCACCTGGTACGGAGATAAAATCATCTGTAACCGCTGATGGTTATCTGTGACTGTGATGGAATCCTGCAGCAGGTACATTACAAAATCATTTGCTTATGTGGGTGAGCCTTTTATTCTGATGATGACAAGGACCAACATACTTAGGGATGTTATGTGACTGTTGTGATATGCTGATCACTGAAGCCTGTCTCTTTAGACAAGCCTAAATTAGTGAAGATGGAGGGTAGCCTCGAGCCACTACTTAGAAATATCTCGCTTCGCTCGACATTTCCACGTAGCGCCCCTCGGAAAAAAGCTCGGATATAAACTCAATATCAGGCCTACCCAACTACCAGACTCGGCACATAAGTATCCTGAATTAACCGATATATCGGACCACACTACCCGTTTTCAAGGTGTGTGTCAGATCGCATTTTGGAGTATGAGTCAGAATACCGTCCTACAAAAATTGTTCTGGGGTATGATAGGCTACTCCGAAATGCGATCTGACACACACCTTGAAAACGGGTAGTGTGGTCCGATATACCGGTTAATTCAGGATCCTTATGTGGCGAGTTTGGTAGTTGGGTAGGCCTGAATATAGTCTAGACATTCTCGACTATCTCTCGGTTAAATCAGTTGAGACCTCTTTAAAAATGTTGAAAGTCGAAGGCAGAGTCATACATGTAACATTCTTGGTATCAAGAGAATACTGACTCTGCTTGCGTACTATACGCATCTTTAAAAATCTCTCATACTCCTAAGAATTTGAATAAACTTTTCACGTTAACAATTTATCATTTTATAACACTAAGTTATATTACACAGCTGTATTTTTTACTGTTGAGATGAATGGGTATGGTTTGAAACGGAATTATTTTACATTTGAGCCACACACGTGTGTTAAGATACTTCATGGTATATTACCACTTCATGGGATAAATGCTCTGATTTTACTGTCAAATCGACTTCATAGGATAAATTGCGACTTCATCTCCACATAAGATATTGCCTGCGACTTCATGGGATAATGGTGAAATAGTACCTGTTGTTGGCCCAACGCTATGAGAGAGAACGTTTTTGAAATATAATGTTTTTGTACTGTAAATATTATCCAAAATAGGTTAACTGTACGTTTTAATTCACTTGTATGACTGAATAGGGTTTCTTTAGTGGTATTGGATGCATGTTTTGAGTAATTTTAAAATACACAGGCGTATGTAGGTGAGGATCCAGTATTTCTAAAAATCAGGACATTATGGGAGATTATGGTCAGCGTTGAAGAAAAGGGGATCCAGACCCCCTGGGCCCTCCCTTCCCAGATCCGCTTGATGCATAAAACTAATGGATCAGGTAAACCAGGCTATGAAAACATNATCTTAACACACGTGCGTACAAAAATGTAAATCTATGACTTTTTAACGTAGGTTGTATTATTTACCTTTTGTTTGTGAGCTGTCAATTCTCCCTCTTTATCAGAAATATCGATAAAAATAAAATCTTTCCCCCCTTTGAACTTGCATAAAGCACCTGAATGCTATTAAAACCAGCACATGTATATTCCGAAACTGGCTCGCCTAATGCTAAGAAATAGCATGAAAAAGTAAAATTATTATTCCTGTGAACTTGTAATAACCATCCTTCCATGACTTTATCCCGAAACCGCCTCGTCGTCAGAAATAACAAAAAAGTAAATTTATTTCTCCCATGGACTGTAAAAATTAATTTGCGTATATTTCGGTCTGATGCTCTTTCTTTCTCAGAAATGTCATTGAGAAGTAGATGTTTTGTCTGGGGACTTAGTTCTGCAGCAGTCCCAGCTAGGTGTGGCTCGGTCGAGTTGCACATTGTCAGTATCGCTCCATACTAACAATGCTTCATGGCTAGGGCCATGTTTGCATGATTTACACAAAAAGGCTACTTTCATCACTTACTGTCCAGAGTTTTAGAAAAAATAGGATTCGCGAATATATTTTCAACTTCAGTTTTAACTTTTCTGTTTTCTTCAAATAAACTTAAACTACCTAAATACCGTGAATCAGTGTGTTTGTCTTTGAAGGTGCTGTATGAACGTCTTTTTCTAATGAATGCATTTAATTACTTTTCTCATTAACACATACCAATTCACAAATATTTAAAATATTGCTAGTAAAACGATGAAGTTTACTTCTAGTATTCAAGAATAGTAGATAGTTACCTGGACATTTGCAGATAGACTGCTCGCAAGAGCCTTCTTCAAGATTATCAGCTCTTCCTTCTCATTCGCATTGTGGTAGATGAGATCAACCAACCCAGTTGGTTTGATGGTGAACAAGAAACTGAAAAATGTAAATGCTCCGTTAGCTTCAGATGAGGCAGACGTTTAGAATGAAAGACAGGCAGATAGAAAGACGTTGATACAAACGCAGAGCCTATTCAATGGACCGAGGAAGATGTCGTAGCAAAATAGTTTTAAATATTATAACAAATGCTTTTGGAGTTTTCTACATGTACTTTTACTTACGGTTCGTCCAAATTCCACTTTAAAGGGTTTTCTGCCGCTGAAATAGAATAGATCGTTGATGGTAAAGACTTTTAAATAAATTGTATCTGTTTGTTAAATAGTCCATTGTCATTAATAAATAAAGTAAATAAAATAAAGTAACGAATAACTAAATGTGCGTTATGATTTTCAAAATGTATTCTAATACATCAATCAATCCTAGTTACATTTGAAGATCGCCAATTAAATAAAAAGTCATTTTTTTCTTTAAGATCAGGCATCAATCTCCACTTCAGAAGATGTGAACTAAAGCATGGCCCTATGACTTTTAAGCCTTTTAAGGTGAAGTACGTGTCGCTTGAGGATGTTAAACCTGAGAGTCAAATTCAGTCAACGATTTCTTAAAACGTTTTGTAAAATGACCTAAACTCCTTCGTGATAGCAATAATCTGGTTTACTTGAAAAGAGTTTAAAACAATATCTCTCTCATCAGATTACCAAAAAGAAAGGATTCCCAAGCTATGCTTCGAAATGATGCTATTTAAATTTTATAATACTTGAAAAAAACCTCCAGCGTCCCAAAGTTTTCCAAGCTTAGCATATTAAAATAATAGTAGTCCGTTCGTTAAGCTTATACTTAAAAAAGGGGACTTCAAGATATATTATTCGTTGTTACATGGAACAGCAGCAGATCCTGATTCCTGATTTTTTTTCTTCAAAGTAATAACTTCTAAATAAACTCGATAAATTTCTTTCTGTATTTTTCACATTTAACTGGGCAGATAAATGCTTGTACTTTGTATTTGTTCACGATACATGAGGGGATAGAGGGGAAAACATTGTATCTATTTAAAATTAATACAATCGTCGGAACCCTTTTTTCATCAACACCCGACATTATACGAAAAATAACCTCGTGTTTTTTTCCTGGGAGGAATTTCGACCTTCCCCCAGTAAAACCAAACCCTCTTTGACCAGCGAGACAGGTACAGCTGTCTGAAAATTCCAAGTTCTACGGGAAAGCATGAAACGACTCGACGCTGTGCATGTAACTTCAACAAAATATATTTTACAAGTTTATATGGCAGGCCTACAATCAATGTTTATTTTCTTTTCCCATCAAGACCTTCCTCTTATATTCCTCAGATTTTTTATACACAACTTCATCTACTTGTATATCTAAAAGGTAATCATGGTTGAAACAAACACTATAAAATTTGAGTTTCCAATGTGTGAATACTATATAAAACTATTTATGTAGCCAAATGTTCACAAGTCCAACGAAGCTCAGCTTTTGCTCAAAATGAAATAAGAAATAAGTCCGTATGACTGATATTGTCGTTTATTAAAATGACGAAATGTAACATGATACAAAGTTTCAAAATGGGGGATAGTAACAACATCAAATTAAATGATCACATATGCACGGTACATCCCCCATAGAAAAGAGAAAAAAGTTTGTAAAACAATGGCCGGCAAAGAGTAAACAATAGCCAACGAAATATAATATGATACGAAGTGACAAGATGGGGAATAGTACAGGTAACACATTAAATTAAATGAATGCATATACACCCCCTATACAATAAAGCAAAAAGTTGACAAAGAACTAAACAAGGGTCAGGTGATAGGGGTGGTGGAGGGTTAAAAATAAAATTGAAATAACATTATAAAATAAGTGATCTTCAAGTGTAGCTGATAAAACAGTTTAAGTGGACTATAATCACCGCACTTAACAGTAGCTAAAAACCGACTGGCTTGCACCAATGCACGTATTTCAATGTCTTAGTCCACAATGATAAAACCAGATGTGCGTGCCTAGGCACAGTCCCGGTCACCTGTTTCACTCTGTGCTTAGTTTACAGTATAAGTCACAGGCACCCCAAACCAAAGCAATCTCCTATAACTCTGTCCTTTCCTCCATTAACTCGCCATAATTGTTGTTTTATGCACTAAAACAAAGACTAAAAGATTTCAACTTACAGCGTGTGATATGCCAATCCATTAATATACATGTATTATCGACAAAATCGTTTACTATACAGTGGTGCCAGACACTCCGATAGACTTAAATTCATGTACTGCTTAGTATGCACGGTACATATGACCTGCCAAAATGTGTCGATAAAATAGGCATCGAATTGTACGTCTCAGACGTGCAGTCTACCGATTACTTTCAAAAAAATGATATTTTGTTCGAAAATATTTTTAAAACGAGGCACTGAATGATAATATGAAGTTTAAAATTCAAATTAGAGAGATAAAATGATTTTGAATAAAGGTTCTGGTATGCTTTTGGTTACATTTTTTCAGTGTGGAACCGGCCACATGGACGAACGGGCACATTTTGATATTTGACGAGTGTAATAATGATAATAAAAAGTTTACAAAAACATAGCAACCAAAAGATTGAAAGTTGAATAGAAAATAAATTAGAATAAAATTAACAAAAAAATACACACAATTAAGGATATACAAAAAGACCAAAATGAATTCGAAAATAAAAGACAGACCCCCCCCCCCCCA